TTAAAACAATGCATGGCATTTTGTAGCATTTACAAATGGGATTACACAGAAGCACAGCTTCTTTGATCACTTTATGGGATCATGACATTAAATGATTATGTGTAATTCCTGTGGCTCTGCGATGCTGACTCTTCATTCCGCCCCATGTTTTTCTTCAGGCCGCTCTAGTACTTACACGGTGGGCACTGCACTTCCCCTCCCCAGCTCCCACACAAGCTGTGGGGTGTTAACAGCTGCACTCGGTGATGCTGCTGCCTCAGAGGAGGAAATGTGTGGTCATCACTCAGACTGTCTGCACAATACGAGGCTCTGCAGGCAACTCCATCCACACTCAAGCTTAGGCACCCTTAAGCCTGCTGTGATCATGAGTGCATTTGGACCCTGAACTCTCAAGAAGTCTTAAAAACAAAGTCTTCTTATCCCTGACTTGTTTTATTACTAGTTTATGTGAGGAGTGAAGTAAAGAGAATGTGCAGGACATACATCTTACAGCGAGGCGATTAGCTATTTATGGATGCCTCCTTTGGGTTCTGGCTCCCTCATTCTCAACAGCTGTGAAGGTCTACATACCCTGTTTTTATCTTCGCAAATCATTCTTCTGTGTTGAAACTATGCCTTTATCCAAACACAGAAGCCAAATGCAGGGTGGTGTTTGAGACCACTGGCATACCTGCAGAGGCCAGGCTGCAGAACGAAAGGCAGACAGAATAGAATAAACAGACTACAAACTGACCCCACTTTCTAATACTTGGTGACTGATACAAAGCTTCCCATTACACAGGTAACAGTCTCTTACTCTGAAGATAAAAATTCTAGAAAAACAGTTTTTAGTGTGGGCAGTTATGTGACAGGGCAAGCTGCCTATCCAAAACCCACTGCAGCTGCTTCCTTATTTATACTACCCTGGTTTTGATGGTGGCCACTTGCCTAGCTATGCTCAGACCTCCTTCCAGCTAGGGATGGCCACGTGACACAGTTCTAGCCAGTGAGCCATAAGATGAGAGTTTCTGGAAAAAACCACCTCCAGTGGCAGCTAGCATGAGTACCAAAGCTAGTACACTAAGGATGGAGAACAGAAAGTTAGAAATAGCCTGGGTTTCTCAACGGCAGTGGTGAGTAGCTACACCAGTCATGGACTGCCTGCCATGTGAGACAAATAGATCTCTGTTTGTGTAAATTGTTATTAGTCAGGTTTCCTGTTAAGTGCAGTGGAACATAATCCTAATTCATTCAAAATGATAACATCCTCTCTATATATGGCCCTTTACACTTAACAATACACTTTCCCATTCAGTTTCCCATACGATACTCATAACAAACCTCTGAAACGGAGTGGACAAGGTCACTGTTAGTATTTCCAATCCTATCCTGCCAACTGCCCAAACTTGGAGCCTGGGCAGCACGCTGACCTTCCCTCTTTCTCAGATCTAATCTCATTTCTAAGTCCTTCTATTCTCCCACCTTAGGATTTCCCAACTCTGCTCATTTTCTTTCTATTCTCTTTGCCACAAGCCTCTTGGAAGTTACCATGATTTCTAGACTGGACCACCAGGTCTCCCTGCCTCTTATCCTGCTGACTAATCCATTCTCTATCATTCAGTCACGGCTGACTTCAAAATGCAAATTGGCCCTATCACTCCCCCCACTCACCAGGCCCTCCCTTGTCTTAGAAAGCCCTGATCATCTGTGCAGCTTCATCCCTTTGTCACTCCTGCCCACCCACTCCAGACCGGAGCCAGGCACTTGGTCTCTAGGGCCTCTGGGCCTTTCCCTTCTCTGCTTTCACAAGGCCAGCTCCTGCTTGACCTTTAGGACTCAGCTCAGGTCTCCCCAAGTGCAGGAAGCCTTCTCAGTCACCACCAACACCCTCCAACACTCCAGGCACAGGTAAGGTGTCTGTGCTTACCTCTGGCTCTGCATTTTATGTATGTCTTTACCTATCTGGGTCCCTCACTAGGCAAAACACTCCTTGAGAACCTGGACTACACCTTATCTTTATATCCCAAGCACCTGGCACGATGCCTGAAATGAAAGATTGAATGAACTTTAGATGAGGAAACTGAGGCTCAAAAAGACAGAGATGTGCCCAGGCCTTTAGAGCAGGGGTCGGCAAACTTTTTCTTAAAGGGCCAGACAGTAACTATTGTAGGCTTGTGGGCCACATGGTCTCTGCTGCAGCTACTCAACTCTGCAGTCACAGATAATATGTAAATGAATGGGCAGGGCTGTGTTCCAATAAAGCTTCAATCCCACGGGGCCACAGCCTGCCAAAACCTGAACTAGAGGATAAGTGACTTACTCATATAAGAGTCTGACAATTTGTAGATGTCAGAGCCAGGACTTAATCCCAGGCCCACAGGGCCTCTTCCACCAGCTAGTACTGCCTTCCAAGATACACAACTGGCTATAAACAAAAAATGTTAATTCCTTGTCTTTACTCCATACTGACTTTAGGTGCTAGGAGGGTACTGATGGGTAATGCCCATCAGACAATGAATGAAAATGGCCCAAACCACCGGGTAACTGAAAGGGAATGGTAGGAAAAGTTTTACTTGTCATGCCACTCACATCTTCAATTCTAGCTAGAATTAGCATGGCTAGGCTAAGCTGGGCAGATAATTACAAGCATGGCTTCAGAAACATCACATAGCACTGTCACCGTAACACAATTTTTCATCTAACCAGTTTTTATCTCTAATGTGAAGCAAAAAGAGCTAAAATAAGGCCTTTCTTCTTGACTTCCCAGTTCAGACTTTTTGACTTCCTGAATAATTACGGTCTCGCAAATTGCCCAGTGGTCCAAAGTTTCATTATTTGTTCTTAGAAGCTATCTAAAAGTTGGTAGACATCTAAGGTTACATTCATTTCTACACATAAATCTTCAAAGGCTTTCCACTGTTCTTAGGACAAAGTCCAAATCCCAAGCCCAGGTGCCGAGGCTCTCCTTAGTCCAGCCCTGTGTGCACTCCCAGGCTCAGCTCCCCCTCCACACTGCTTTCTACCTACAGCCATACTGGCTTTCTTTGAACAGCTCCTTAAAGGCACCATGCTCCAGCTCTCTCACCCGAAACTTCCTTCCTCTTCTCTTTACCTGGCTAATCTCCTGGTCATTCTTCAGGTCTCAGCTTAGATGTCACTTTCTCAGACAGGAACCACCCAAAGCTATGCTCAACTCATGCATGGGCCTGTGGTACCCTGCACCTTCCCTTCCCTCACACTTCTCTCCCTTTTCCTTTGCACAGCCACCCTGCCTGCCTGACTAGAAACTCCATGAAGGGAGGCACCAAGTCCATCATGGGCACTTACTTTGCTGAACGAAATTAGTAAATGTCAGATGGCACAGACTGCATTTCCACACTTAGAGTCCCAAAACCAAATTAAAGAAAAAACAAAAACCAAATAAGGGTTTCAGATATTTTCTCTGGCTCCCTAGCCACAACATTTTGGCTGAAAAGAAAGAAAATAGGTCTTATAAAGAGACAACAGGGTTAGGTGCTACCTCTTTGGCCTCCTTTGTTTAACGTCTCTTAGTCTTTGCTAGAGAGAAACATTTGGTGCCCTCGTAATAAAAGAACTGCTGAGGAGAATTCAGTATCTTCTGTACCAAAGGCACTGGCCACCATCATGAACGCTCCTAGCTCCCCTGCAGGTTTTCCAAATGATCCAAAAAGTTAAGACGATAAGTTATGGTGTTTCTTTTGACCAAAAGCACTATAATAGTGGCTTTTTAAACACTCAGTCAACAATGAGTAGAATCCTGCACTAAACAGAAAGAAGGAATAAATTTGAAAGCAAAGGAATCACCTCAGCTCTTGGTACAGTAAGAATGTTGACACCCATGAAAATGACTTTAAGAACCCTCAAAAGACAACATATCAATAGCACAAAGTAAATACAGTAACTTCTCACTGACCAGAGAGTTAACCTGCTGAAAAATACTATGACTGGTAAAACCAAGGTTGGCAAGATAAGGTAGCATAAAAAAATGAGGGATTGAAAGAAAAGTAATAAAAATTCAACAAGGCATTTTTTTCTAAGATCAAACAGATGCATGTGTGCCAAAGCCACCGTTGTTTTGGCAGGGGACATGAATGCAGCACGGTGCTCTGCCAGCAGAGGGTCCTCACAGGTTTTATAAAGTGCAGGCCACATTTCTTTTGACAAGTGTTAGCACTAGCCCTTACTGGCTTAAATTTTAATGAGCACTCCTTTGTGTCCTTCAAAAATGCTAGCATGATGGCCTGGTCTTTTCACACCTTACCTCAGGGCTCAGGAGCATGCTTTATTGCAGGCCTGCTCTTCTCCCTGTACAAAAAGAGGGGCCACAAAACAGGCCCACCTCCACAGTCTTTGCCGCGGGGGTGATAGTCAGCAGATAATTATTGTCATGTTCTTTCATTTAAGAAGGCTGAACACAACCAGTCATGAGAAGATCATGGAGTTTTCATTTCTGATAATCATTTATAAAACCACATTATCTCTAAACTGCATGAGATGAGTATAACTCATGAGTTATGGAAACTCCAAGAATCCAGAATAAGATGAAATCAGTATTTGAGCTTTAAAATCTTCTTCCTAAGAAACAGAACTAATTCACAAGTGGAGTGCTTTGAGAATACCCTCCCAGTGTATGCAAACATCTGTAAACTCTAGCAATTCTGTCCAAGCATGAACATGTAGGTATGAGGGCTTCATCTTCAGGTGAGGTTGAAAGCAGGCTGGCCACAGAGTCAGATCCGGGGTTACAACACCACAACTGAGTGACCTCAGCTGTATCATCTCTTCAGTGCACTTGGCACTGGCCTTGCCTGACTCCAAGGTTGTCATTAGGCTTGAATATGATTCTGCACATGGAAGCACTGCCTAAGCTACGGAATGCCCCACATTCATAAGGGATCACTATTACTATTTTCGTTCTGAATTCCACTGCTAAGTAGACTTGCTGTGTCAAATGGCTATGCACAAAGAACTGACACAGATCCCTTCCATGTCGGACTCACCTGTGTTATCTCTGGCTACAAGACCCTTAGGAAAATCCCCGGGAGTTGGGGAGGTCCTGCTGTCCCACTTGACCATGTCGAGACTATTGCAATACTCCCATCTCTTCTGCTGAAGCTCCTGTAACCAGTAAGTCATGAGCTGACGATTGGGAGCCTAGAAAGAGAAGGAAAAAAGAGATTATGGCCACCAGTACGATGAGGAGCTTAGGAAAAAAATTACATTTCATGAGGACAGACTGTACATCTTGCCACATGAAAGGAGGTGTTAAGAACATGTCAAGGAAATTTCAGTGACATTAGTAGCTTTTGCTCACAACGAGTTGGTCCAGCAAATAGCAATTCTAGTATAAAGAATTTAACATGAATAAATCTATTTTTAATTCTAAAAATCGGAGAATAATACAATGTAACACGTCCCCCCAAAAGGTTTTAGGAAAGCCTGATAACCCTGCTGCCCTTCCACTCTGAGCACCTATAAATTCCATCTTGAGAAATCAAAGCTCACATAGTTTGGATGACATTCATGCCAAAGCACATCAAATAGTGGTATCGAAACTCTGTCACCGTCTGGGAGAGTGTACAAAAACTGCAGATTAAAAATTAGACAGCACACCTATCAGAAAGGCTGAAATTTTAAAAACTTGACAACACCAGGAATGTAGAGCAAATGAACTGTCACACACTGCTGGCGGGAACGCAGCACTTTGGAAAACAGTCGGCAGTTCCTCCTATAGTTAAACATACACTTATCAAGTGACCCAGCAACCCTGCTCCTAGGTATTTACCCAAGAGACATAAAAACATACTCACAACACAAGAATAAAGGGCAACTATGGTAAATGCTATAACATATACAATCTTACAACAACAGTAATAACAAACAAGAATTTGAGTGGATATGTAGGCAAATATGTATGCTAAATAGGTGTGGGAGGTCGTACACGAGTACACCAAGTGCACATATATATATGTATATATATAGCTGTGGATATTTCTACATACATATTTGTAAGTTCTGCATATATACTCATATATATAAAACAGAGCACATAGGAGGCATAGTTAAAGAAACTACTTAGACTTTGGGACTGAACTACTGGACTTGAAGACTGAGGACCATAGTCTTGGGACATCTAGATCCACTGGCAAAACACAGTTCATAAAGATAATGTTCTACATCCTAGTCTAGTGAGTAACATCTGGGGTCTTAAAAGCTTGCAAGCACCCGTATAAAAAGCAACTATTGCTTTCTTCCCACCTGCAGCAAAGAAGAATGAAACCGAAGACTCAAGGAAGCAATTAGTCCAAAGGGCTAATGGCCCACGTCAACCACAGCCTCCTCTAACTTGAGACTGAAGAACTAGATGGTGCCCGGCTACCATACTGACCACTCTGACTGGGACCACAGTAGAAGGTCCCAGTTAGAATGGGTGTAAAATGAAGAACAAAATTCAAATTAAAAAAAAAAAAAAAGACCAGACTTACTGGTCTGGTAGAGACTGGAGGAACCCCTGAGACTACTGCCCCTAAGACAACTTTCTAACTTGAAACTGAAGACACTATCAGAGGCTACCTTTCAGCCTAACAACAGATGGGCCTATAAACTAAACAATAATACCTGTGAAGAATGTTCTCCTTAGAACAATCAACTATATGAGACTAAAAGCACAACATTTGCCCAAAACCAAAGATGAGAAGGCAAGAAGGGACAGGGAAACCGGACTAACGGAAATGAGGAGCCCAGGGGAAGAAACGGGGAGAGTACTGACACATTACGGGGATTGCAACCAATGTCACGGAACAATTTGTGTATGAATTACTGATTGAAAAACTAGCTATGTAAACTGTCACTCAAAACACAATAAAACGTTAAAAAAAAAAAAGGCATATTCACACAAAACCCTCTATGTCAATGTTTCTAGAGTCTTTATTTATAATCGCCACAAGTCGAAAACAACCCAGATTTTCTACGTCTGGTGAATGGGTAAATAAACTGTGGAATATCCATGCAATGCAATACTATTCAACAAAAAAAAGAAGTAAACTACTGATTCACACAACAATATGGATAAATATTAAATTCATTTTGCTAAATGAAAGAAGAAAGGTTGCATACTCTATGATTCCATTTATGTGACATTTTGAAAAGGTAAAATCATGAGGACAAGAAACAAATCAGTTGTTGCCAGGGATTGGGGTGCGTGCAGGCGTTGACTACAAAGGGGCAGCACAAGAGAATCTGTGAGTGATGGAACTGTTCTGTATCGTAACTGTGGTGGTGGATACCCAATTCTATGCATTTGTTCAAACCCACAGAACTACACACCACGAAAAGTGAATTTCACCATATATAAATTAAGGGGGGAGAAAAAGCAGCCAAGACTGGGGGTGGGGGGGCAAAACGTTAACTAGATGGCAGGTGTGGGTCTCCAGGCTGCCCTCCAAAGGAGTCCTAAAAAGAATGTCATGACACAGTTATGGGAAACTCATCAACACTGGTATCCAACAAGGTTCCCAGGATCAGAAAGATCTGGCAATCTGGAAAACTGCTCACAGCCCTGATAGCAAGTAACAGGCCTGGAGACCAAACCAGCACTGTCTATAAGCAAAGGACAATCTCCTGCTGCTGTGGCTACAGCCTGGGGTCTTTTTAGTGACATTTGCACACAGGGCCTCAAGCAAGGAAGACCATCCACTACAGGATCTCTGGGTATTCTACTACAGGAAATTCTTCCTAGTATCAGCCAAGCCATCATTTCATCCATTCATTCAACCAACGTTTACTGAGCATCTATCACATACCTAGAGCTGGAGACTGGCCTTGAAAATAATCTGGTGAAGACAGGAAAATCAAACCAGTAATTTCAACCGTGTGTTAACAGTTATGGATACTTCCTAGGCATAACCAAACACGTCATGGGACTGGTTCACTGGGTTTGAGGGCTTAGGACCACAGTCTCACGGGACAGCTTGGTCAATCGGCACAACATAGTCCATAAAGACAATGTTCTACATCCTAGTTTGGTGAGTAGCATCTGGAGTCTTAAAAGCTCATGATTAGCCATCTAAGATACAACGATTGGTCTCTACTCATCCAGAACAAAAGAGAAAGAAGAAAACTAAAGACTAAAAGAAGAAACTAATCTACAGAACTAATAGTCTACACAAATAACAGCCTCAACTACCTTGAGACCAGAAGAACTAGATGGTGCCCAGCTACCATTACCAACCATTCAGACCAGTGACTCAATAGATGGTCCTGGATAGAATGAGAGAAAAATGCGGAACAAAACTCAAATTCTTAAAAAAAAAAGAAAAAAAAAGAAAAAGCCAGGCGTACTGGATTCGTCTCTACCAGATGAACCCCTAAGATTATCACTCTGGGATAACCTTTAAACTTGGAACTCAAACGACCTGTTTTTTTTTTAGAGGTCACCTTCCAGACAAATGAAAAACTGGCCCATAAAATAGTTATCACATATGAGTACTGTGCACCTCTAAATAATCATCTAAATGAAACTAAACAGTAAACATTTACTCTAGACCAAAGATGAGAAGGTAAGGGCGGACAGGGAAGCTAAATTAATGGCAACAGAACAACCAAAATGGAAATAATGAGAATGCTGATACAGTGTGAAAACTGTAGCCAATGTCACTAAACAATATGTATAAAAACCAAACCAAACCCGTTGCCACTGAGTCGATTCCAACTCACAGTGACCCTGTAGGACAGAGTAGATGCTCAGTAAAACCAAAGAGCAGCTGGTGGATTTGAACTACCAATCTTTTGGTTAGCAGCCAAGCTCTTAACCACTGTGTCACCAGGGCACCAAATAATATGTACAGAAGTTGTTAAACAAAAACCTAATTTGCTGTGTAAACTTTCACCAAAACATAATAAAATATTTATTAAAAAAAAATAGTGTGTCAAGTGCTATGACAGAGGTCAAAGTGGATGAGGTGGGGCTGATTGGAGACCACTGAGGAGAGACACCTAACCAAGCAGGGAGGTGAGGTGAGTGGTAAGGTACTCAAGCTTAGGAAATCTGCCATCTGTAGGTTCAAAAGGTTCAAATTATTGGCTTAAGGTCTATCTTCTCTAATAAACAAACTCTAAGATGTCTCCAATTTTCTAGTGTCTAGCTTAGTGCCAGACACATAGTAGGTCAGTATTTATTGAATAAATAAGGAACAAATGAATGAATCAGGAAGTGATGCTAGAGTTTGGTCTTAAAGGGGAAGCAAGGGTTGGCCAGAAGGACAAGAAAGAAAGGGGAGGTTCCAGGCAGAGAGAAGAGTGTCTGCAAAGGCCCAGAGACCAGAAAGCATGAGGAGGGGAGACTGAAGAGGGACCAGTGGGAGATGAGGCTGGAATGTAGCACAGACCAGGCCCCAAAGGTATTCATGGGCTTCCTAAAGACATGGAGCAGGGAACTGCTGCAGGATTCTTAGCAAGGCAATGACATGATTAGACACTGTCACTGTTGTTGAAAATGAACTGGGGGTAGTGAGCTGCAGGGTTTAGGTAATGGGAGGAGGGCAAATGTGTGAGACCACTTGAGACCCATGAAGCACAACCAGGAGTTTGAGCAGCATGTTGGCTGGAGGATGGATGGCAGAGGGGCTCAGCCTGGCCCTGGGATAAGGTCAAGAGAACACCAATCTTCCCGTGGGAAGGGAGAGGAGAACCACCTGGGAAAGTAAGGAACTGGGAGACACAACTGTAGCCAAAATCAGAGCCCGAAGACCACCTAGTCCATCTCCTCTCTTTCACAGATGGGGAGACAGAGGCCCGGGAAGGGAAGTGACTTGACCGGGTCACATAGTAAGCTGATGACAGAGATTGTGATCCCAGTCTTCTGACCCCCCGCTCAGAGGAAAATATGTCTGTTTGGGGCAGTGGGATGCGCCTGGGGCCTGCAGAACAAGGCGGGGAGGGCCTGAGCCCTGCAGGTGCCTCTCGGCCCTGAAGCACCCCCCAGAGCCCTCTGATCAAACCAGGGAGGCTGGCTCTGGTGCCCAGACACACTCTACCTCCTCTCCTGCAGCATGGACCAGTTACTCTGTTCCTGTTCACGCTCAGCAGCAACAGGCTGCTCAGAAGACATGGCACACACCTCGTAGACCCATCACTAACCTAACCTCTGTAGCACT